AGCACCCTGTCGTGCCTGGCCTCCGGGTGCCCCCAGCAGCAGGATTTCAGTTGCATGAAGAGAGTGGGCATGTGACACTTCGAAACGTCCCCTCGTCACGTAGACTGCACCCGTCTGGCACATGCTGGACAGCCGCTAAGAAGCAAAGGTGTGAGCACAGGTGTGAGCACATATATTAAACATGAGACTTTAACCCCACCATGTGTACAACACGCACATGCACACGCCTGGCTGTCAAATGTGAGTTGCCGTTAGCCTCAGGTCCTACAAATTGTTTTTTATACATGTTTTCTGTGTGCTTTTCTGTGTTACATTAAAATGGGCACTGGATTTATACAGTACTTTTAGTGGCGTTATGCATTGGGCTGCTAATTCAAAGGTCGGCAGTTCAAAACCACCAGTCGCTCCGAGGAGGGAAGAGGAGGCTGTGTGCTCTCATGAAGAGTTACTGGGGTGGTTCCACCCTGCTGCATAGGGTCAATATGAGTCGGCATCAACTTGGCACTGTGTTTAATTTGGAGGGCGTGGGAGTGTTTGTTTGTACGACTGTTTGAAAAAAAATGATATTTTGAAAGGCATGAAAAATATGTGCTGTGGTCTTAAAATACCAAAAACGAAACAAAACTCCCTGCCAAGAGTCGACCCTGTAGGACAGAACAGAACTGCCCCTGTGGGTCTCTGGGACTTTAACAGGAGTAGAAAGCCCTATTTTTCTCCCTCAGAGCAACTGGTGGTTTCGAACTGCTCACCTTGTGGTGAGCAGCCCGACACGGAACCACTGTGCCCCAGGGTTTTCAAATAGGAATGACTAAGTAATTGTTAAGGTTTTTCCCATCCAACTGGACAGGCAGTGGCCTGTGGTCCTCAGTGGGGAAGTCTGTGCTTCTGGCTTCCCAGGAAGACGTCCCCAGAGGGCCCCGCCCCCAGCCCATCCACCCCCAACCTCTTGTCCTGACAATGCCTGACCTGCGTGTGCTGTCTTCTGCCCCGTCCACAGGATGGGGGGCATCCCAGCCAAGAGCCACCGAGGAGAGAAGCTGCTGCTGTTTATGGGCATCATTGACGTCCTGCAATCCTACAGGTGGGACGGCCAGGGGCATGGGCTGCTGGGGCCTCAAACTCTGAAGATGCACCGGATTGGGGGGGAGGCGGGGGGTGCATGGCAGCTCACCGTCCGTCTGTCTGCTGGCGTCTAGGTTGATGAAGAAGCTGGAGCACTCCTGGAAAGCACTGGTCTATGACGGGGTGAGTGTCCCTCTCTCCTCCCCAAACAGCCGGCTTTCCTGGGCGCTTGCTCTGAGCGGGAGGCCTGCAGACACCCTCAGCCAGCCCGTCTGTGGGCGCCACTGCTCCATCAGCCTGTGCGCCCTCCCCGAGGCCTGGTGATCCCCTCCCCAAGACGCTGACCGTTGAAAACACTGCGAAGCATTGTTTGGCTCCACCTTTCTTCACCGCAGGCTGAGTGAGGTCAGCCTCCGGCCCAGGCTCCCTCAGAGCCCACAGGGCTTCCTCTGGGGACAAGACCCAGCTGAGGCCCACACCATTTCTGTCCGGCCCGAGGGAGGGTCTCCCACCAGGAGAGGTTGCTCTTCCATGTGGAATGGCTAGAATGGTTTTGGATCAACGGCACGCCCCAGCCTGACTCCTGAAGGCGCAGGGCCTGGCCAGGCACTGGTGTCCCCAGCTCTGGGGCCCGAAGCCTGTCGGGAGGGGGATGCTGCTGTGCCAGTGTCCGGAGCTGGCTGAGAAGTCATGGGGACACGGGAATTGTCTTGCAGGACGCCGTCTCAGTCCACAGACCAAGTTTCTACGCAGACAGGTTCCTGAAGTTTATGAATTCCAGAGTTTTCAAGAAAATCCAAGGTAGGATCTTCGTCTTTTATTTTTTAATACTTTTATTGGGGGCTCTTACATCTCTTATCACAATCCATACATTCATCCAGTGTGTTAAGCACATTCGCACATATGCCGCCATCATCATTCAAAGCATTCTCTTCCCTCTCGAGCCCCTGATATCAGCTCCCCATTTCTTCCCCCTCCCTCTCCCACCCACCTGCCCTCATGAATAAGTTATAGATTATTATTTTCATATCTTACATCGTCCTCCATCACCCCTCACCCATTTTTCCATTATTCATCCCCCTGGGAGCGGGTTATATTTGACCCTTGTGATTGATTCCCCCTTTCTCCCTCCACCCTCCCCTAATCCTCCTGGTATCTCTACTTTCCTTGTTGGCCCTGAGG